CAGCAGTGTCCCGATCAAGATGGGTTTACTTGACAGCTGCCAAGTTCCAAAGTCCAAAACGTGTCATGGGATGAGGTTCCAGGTAAAACGAAAGACCACAAACGTTTAACGCCTGTCCTTCGTCGCGTGCCAAACTGCTGTGCGCTTAGAGATAGTGCACGAGATTCGTTGCCCAATCAGCTGGCGTAGCTCACCGGCCAGCTGCCTGTCCAATCAGATCACTCGCTGCAACGGGCTAATCAAAACTTTCCCCTCAAGGGTGATTTCGCGTTTACTGGCAGAAGCATTTTGTTTGGCGGATCCCGCTTGATGTAATAGAAATGATTTAGGTCCTGATACTAACTGGCAGAAGACCGGTTCAGGCTCGCGAGTTGCAGTTTGGAGACTCTTGGCATACCGTATGGGGACGTTTCGAGCCAGCTTGAGAGGTTTTCTGCTCTAGAACCATTCAGTGCGAGATGCTGCAAGGGTACAGAGTTGCGGGAGTGACGTTACCGTGGATTTTTCTGCCTTCGACACAACTGCCAGAACACCCTCGACCAATGCATATAAACTATGCGTGGTACACCACTTCTCAGTCAATTGACCAATAGTATGACAACGCGGCAACTACCCCCGTGACTGTCCCAGCAACGAGAAGTTGCCGGGTTGTATGCTAATCTAATGAAAGTGTGCAGGGTCCCAGAATGGGTAGTTCCGAGTTTCTTTGTGTTCAAGGCCGTTCAACTGAAGGAGAGGATTACTTCTTTTGACGACAAGGGTAGTACGGTGGTCCACCTCCAGAGCTCCAACCTACCCCTAATGAAGACACTTCTCAGAAGGAAAATCCTAGTGCAGAAAGACCAATCAGCTAACGCCTGCACTTGACACATTCCCCCTCTACCACAGTATTGCATGATCCGATGGATTCGTCGGAAATGTTTCCCTTGAAATGAGAAGTGGAGGAGTGTTAGGCACAAACGAAGGGACATTCCTGGGGATGGACTCGAACCATCGACTTCCAACTTATCACGCGGGTGCTCTATCAAATACCAGGGATTCATGTTCCCTGTCAGTTCGTTTATATGAAAATCACAGCCGATTCGGGATTTATTCGCCCGATGGAATAATAGTGGATATTTGTCGGTGCCGTTCAAGAGCCCTTTCGGTACCTCCACATTGAGTCAGACGTCTACAAACCCAAGGAGCTTAGGTAAAATTGTTGCAAGGTAGAAGAGGATTTGGTGAGATCTTGACTGAAGAGTCGAGGTACACCTAGTACGAGTGAAAATGCACACACGTGCCCGGATTCGAAAAGCTTAACTCTTGTTTACTGTACAGGGTCCACCGTTAGTTGTGGGTGGTTAAGTCACTCATACGAGTCATTTGAACAGTCTTCTCTCTATCCTGGCACAAGTATTTTGGTGAGTCCACAATAAGCAGATGAAGCACTGAATTCGTCGTTAGGCATGCCAGGACTGGGATCCAGGACGATCGATATGCGAGGCGATCAGGTTACGGCCATTCACTTCTACAAAAACAAACGCATTCAGAACATTTTATTTTAAGTTGACGGAAACTCGGAAACTGTGCCTACCTGATGAGCCCCAAGAAGGGCGAAACTGATCGTGGGCTGTCGAGGGGTTTTCAGCAACCATATGAGTAGTGCATTACAAACGCATTCCAGTTTGAATGAATTGATTGATTTTCCCATACCAAGAATGATGACCCAGTAACTGTCCTGACTGTGTCGATCGATCGACAGGCTAATCAGGATCTTCCAATCATGTAGCACAAAAGGTACTGGTGCTCATCTTCATGGCGATTGGGCATAATGACAACCCGTATAAATGACGTTCAGACCTAGGAATCGGTAAGGATGCTTGCTCCGTACGTCATGTTATTAACCAGTGCCTTGTGAACACAAGCCATCCAGACCCAGTGTTGTGACTAAACAGCTGATCAAATATAAAAAAATCGATCTTGACACAGATGTGATGCGTGTATAATGCTTCAAAAACATGAAATTGAGGTTGCAGTTCGAATACTTGATGCTGCGAGGGTCTAACAAGAGAAAATTTCGGACATGTGATGCGTGTATAATGCTTCAAAAACACTTAAAACTGAGGTTGCAGTTCAAATACTCGATTCTTCGAGGGCCTAGCAAGAGAAAATTTCTGATCGTCATTTACTGGGTGAAAAAACACGTCCATGGCTGACAAACCTCTCGGAGAAAAAACTTCAGGATTTTGAAAAACCAGCTTTATTGCAAGACTGGGACCCAGTTCGAACAAAGGAAGTCGAAGGGCTCTTTTCGCACAACCACTCGAAGGATGGAAGAGAGCCACAGGCGGTCAAACAATGACTTGGCAACGAAGTATAAAAGCTATTACCAGCAAACACAGCTGCGCTGGTCATTGGCGTCCTTCTGGATGGGGACCCCGAGACGGGCCACATCAATGGTTGGAGACACTGTCAGACATGGCACAGTCGCGCCCTCAATGGCGCTCATGCATCCAAGCTATTGCCTTCAATGCATAGCTCCCTTCCCAACCCCCCCCCCACTTAACAGTCCACCCACACTGCTGTATTTACGCACTAATCTATCAGCTCCCGCAGCTCCCTACCCCAGCTCCCCGAATCATCAGTGAATGAAACTGCGGCAGTTACAACCACTGTACGAAAAGTACGCGGTTATTACAGCTGACTCCCTACAACCATGACTATCATCAACTGGGCACTTGATCCTGCTGCAGTCCATTTAAGCTTGAGCAGATGACAATTGGAGTCCTCGTGCACAGCTTGACAACCGCATGCTGGGGAACGGATGGTAAGATATTCCCAGAATATATGCGTAACTTGATTCCTTAGTGTTGAGAATGTACAGCAATCACATGAAACAAAAACACACTCGCGGATTTGTTGTTCCACCATAGAGTTTGGTTGACCACGTTTTTCAAGGCCACGGTGTTAGGAATGTATACAAAACAAAGTTAACGGTAGAGGGAGACGTGACTTGTGAGTCGATCATTACAAGATTCGTTTGCCATCACTTGATGCCGGATCGAGCCGATGAATAGAATCATGCGGCGATGAGAAGGAAATGCAAATGGAAATGTTGTCATTTGAGCTCAAGTAGAAACTGACGCGGAAGAGTGAAATGAGGGGATACGACGACCATTTGGCAGCGCAATATTTGATTTCGTTTTTGTGTAGAATATTCTTCGAATTCAGTGTGGTCTTCTGACGTTCCCCGAGGCAGAATTTGTTCACTAACTGTAATTAAGATCGATTTCAACCTAACGAGTATGAGGAAGTAACTGATTTCCATCAATTTGAAATTAGCAGAATTACTAGCACCCCACTCCGAGAATAAGTACTACTGGTGGATGGATGACGGTGTATGCTACTGATGAGGCATGCGAGTAGTACGTTTTCTCGTAAATCCGCTTCGCGCCTCTTGAAAAGTGAGGTCTGCTACGGAATTGGTGGAGTCACTTTGTAGCATTTGCTTGTATTTGAGTAACAGTCAATGAATATCCAGGAAAGTTCAGGAAGACGCGTTCAAGGAGAAGGTGGGTATTCTGTTTTTGCAAACAAGATGCATATCAAGGTTTTGCTTCCCTGTCCAATAGTCTGTAACTGTTCAGTTGATGATGACGCGGCGAAGGCCATCTTCCTTTCACTGATAGTATTAAGATTACCATAGAAGTACTTATTTTTGTATCACCAAGGCAATTACATGTTCCTAACTGTGTACATTAGATCTCAACTATTGTCCAAGAAGGCAAAACCAGTCCCATGCGCCATATAGACCTACGTCGATGTAAAGAAAGGAGTGTTTACTTGTAATCTTGTCCAGAGTGTGAACAGCTGCCTCCAAGCGTTCGAAAAGCAACTTGGAAGAGTGTCCATCCCAATGAATTCCAAAACCTTCCAAGCCAATCATGGTTGCCAGTCACACGGCCTTATTTGCACAGGTATCAGGCTAGCTCTAAAGAGACTAGCTGTTCGTGAAGTGTCAGGAACCTGAGCGCCTGTTAGCATTTATGCAACAGCCTTACAATGAGAGACTAAAAAACCAAACAGCCAACGATGACAATGGTAGAGAGTGCATTCGAAATACGGCACTCAAGTAGAGGCTAGTTTACACAGCGGAAGCAGTCCCAGTGGGAAAAGACGAAATGTGCGATTGAACTCACTGTCTAGTATTTCATTTTTTGCCAAAAGTACCTCTCGTCGCAATTCGCCAATAATCTCACGACGCAATAGATCCAGTTCGGCACGAGTTAGTGGGGCCATGGAGGGAACAGTGTTTTGGAGGCCAGTAGGGTTGAAGGAGGCTGTACTGTGGAATATCGGTGGGCACTTTCGACTAAACAATCGAACAGAGTGGGACAAAAAATAGAGTGAACTGACGGAACTTCAACATTGTTACTGAGTATATATCACAGACATGAAATCCGAACGAGTTCGATAAGGCTATTAAGCTCTGTAGTACAGCCGGGAGTCAATTTTATGAGCAAGATGTACAATGAGGCTAAATTTGGCGCCGAAAGTTTTGCTGATGCAATCAGCAGTGGATTGGAAATGTGGATATACACTGACCTGTTGCAGTCAATGCACTGACAAAAAACCGGGAGTGCTGTGTCTACCGAAAGCATTTAAAGTATAAATTTGGCAGGGTACATGGGAGACTTTCGGACAGAAATCATGAACGGAGACAAGTTGACATAATACACCCCCGTAGTACCTGTAAAAAGGATAATCTGTTCGGAGAAAGCAGTTCGACACGCCTTTGATCTCAGAAGTTGTGAGTTGAGGAACCAGTCGGCATCAAATCTCGTGAAGTAAGCATCAGGAAGATCAGACTACTGAAAATAATCCTAGAATGCTGAGATCCAGACTGAGACCCTCAAAACCCACTAAAATCGCAGTGGGGAGGCCGTCAAGCATCCGATCCAGAAAAGCCCAGCTATCGATTGGACGCTCAAACAGTCGATCAGTTCACTAACGGCCGATGATGATGAGTGTTCAGGCATGTCATAGAAGCTGAGACCCACAAAGGTGGGTGGTGTCCACCCAACGCCGATCGGACAGTCTGGACTTAGGGTCAAAAGTGCACTTTAAATACCGCGATCCTCCTTGTAATTTATGCACTCGCTTGTTCGCAATAAAGCCGTTGTGTTCCTTGTTGGTGAGTCATTTTTCGACACTGTAGCGTGGATCGCAGTTATTTACACCAGTAATCAACGTCGCTGAAGGGCCTTTGCCCTCATTCTGCTGATCAGCCCCTCGTGATCGGAAGGTTTGAATTGTCCGGGGTGCGTCTGGCCTACGGTCCCGAACAATGTTTAAAATATGCAACGCCTATCGGCTTCTCAGTGAAAATTACCGTCATCTGTACTGGACTGATTGGCATTCAGACTGACTAACTGAGTGAAAATGTCAAGTAGAAACTGATATTCTTAGAATGTGGACAGAAGGTGTAACACCCATGCTCGACCGTCGGTCCAAAAGGATGCAACCACGCAGTTTAATCGCTTGGAAATCAAAGGTAAAGTGGACTCATGTAGTTTCGTACGAACTAAGTGCGATCTGCTGCGCTTGGAGGTGGCCTTCCTTTGAATGAGGCTGGCCGGGTCAACTGTGCAAGAGCCAAAAGACTACAGGGAAGAATATGAAAGTTCGCTCTGAGCTGAGGTGGTAGTGGTGGCAGCGTTGATCTGTGTAAGTCAGGGGATAATAATAGCCGTCGTTCAGCTGTAAAACTCTGATATGCCACTAGAAGGAAGCATGAGGAATGAAACGCTGCCAAGCTGTCCAAGCCTAGACATGAGCAGTCTAGATACCGGGGTTGGGTCAGAAACATGAACTTTCCGGTCATTAGGTTCACGCATTGACAACTGACCTATCTCGAGCTCGCGTCGGAAAACCGTGAGGTGAAAGAAATCGGAGGTAGTCCAACAAGGAATTGGTGGCAGTATCTCCTAGCCGGAAAAAAACCGTGTTGGACCAAGTAGAAAAGGGAAATACTAGCGAGTAACAAAGAGATGCGAGACACTGGAACCCGATGACAACCGATGGAATAGGTGAACACAAAGAGCTCCATTACGACTCATCAATCACATCGCCGTCATCTACAATAAATGCAACTATCTACACACCCTCATCGCCGAATGGCCATCGAAAGACACCTAAAAGAGCACAAGATCAAGGTCGAGCACTTCGATAAATGAACATCCCGGATTAACGCCAAGGTCATCGACCGTCAACACAATCTGAAAATTCCCCACGAGAATAACAGTTTTCCGATAATAAATGGGCTAACCGTGCCTTTGTGGAACTAATTTTTGAGACTTTCGGACAGAAATCATGAACGGAGACAAGTTGACATAATACACCCCCGTAGTACCTGTAAAAAGGATAATCTGTTCGGAGAAAGCAGTTCGACACGCCTTTGATCTCAGAAGTTGTGAGTTGAGGAACCAGTCGGCATCAAATCTCGTGAAGTAAGCATCAGGAAGATCAGACTACTGAAAATAATCCTAGAATGCTGAGATCCAGACTGAGACCCTCAAAACCCACTAAAATCGCAGTGGGGAGGCCGTCAAGCATCCGATCCAGAAAAGCCCAGCTATCGATTGGACGCTCAAACAGTCGATCAGTTCACTAACGGCCGATGATGATGAGTGTTCAGGCATGTCATAGAAGCTGAGACCCACAAAGGTGGGTGGTGTCCACCCAACGCCGATCGGACAGTCTGGACTTAGGGTCAAAAGTGCACTTTAAATACCGCGATCCTCCTTGTAATTTATGCACTCGCTTGTTCGCAATAAAGCCGTTGTGTTCCTTGTTGGTGAGTCATTTTTCGACACTGTAGCGTGGATCGCAGTTATTTACACCAGTAATCAACGTCGCTGAAGGGCCTTTGCCCTCATTCTGCTGATCAGCCCCTCGTGATCGGAAGGTTTGAATTGTCCGGGGTGCGTCTGGCCTACGGTCCCGAACAATGTTTAAAATATGCAACGCCTATCGGCTTCTCAGTGAAAATTACCGTCATCTGTACTGGACTGATTGGCATTCAGACTGACTAACTGAGTGAAAATGTCAAGTAGAAACTGATATTCTTAGAATGTGGACAGAAGGTGTAACACCCATGCTCGACCGTCGGTCCAAAAGGATGCAACCACGCAGTTTAATCGCTTGGAAATCAAAGGTAAAGTGGACTCATGTAGTTTCGTACGAACTAAGTGCGATCTGCTGCGCTTGGAGGTGGCCTTCCTTTGAATGAGGCTGGCCGGGTCAACTGTGCAAGAGCCAAAAGACTACAGGGAAGAATATGAAAGTTCGCTCTGAGCTGAGGTGGTAGTGGTGGCAGCGTTGATCTGTGTAATTCATTTTGGGCAAGTCAGGGGATAATAATAGCCGTCGTTCAGCTGTAAAACTCTGATATGCCACTAGAAGGAAGCATGAGGAATGAAACGCTGCCAAGCTGTTCAAGCCTAGACAGGAGCAGTCTAGATACCGGGGTTGGGTCAGAAACATGAACTTTCCGGTCATTAGGTTCACGCATTGACAACTGACCTATCTCGAGCTCGCGTCGGAAAACCGTGAGGTGAAAGAAATCGGAGGTAGTCCAACAAGGAATTGGTGGCAGTATCCCTAGCCGGATGACAACTGACCTATCTCGAGCTCGCGTCGGAAAACCGTGAGGTGAAAGAAATCGGAGGTAGTCCAACAAGGAATTGGTGGCAGTATCTCCTAGCCGGAAAAAAACCGTGTTGGACCAAGTAGAAAAGGGAAATACTAGCGAGTAACAAAGAGATGCGAGACACTGGAACCCGATGACAACCGATGGAATAGGTGAACACAAAGAGCTCCATTACGACTCATCAATCACATCGCCGTCATCTACAATAAATGCAACTATCTACACACCCTCATCGCCGAATGGCCATCGAAAGACACCTAAAAGAGCACAAGATCAAGGTCGAGCACTTCGATAAATGAACATCCCGGATTAACGCCAAGGTCATCGACCGTCAACACAATCTGAAAATTCCCCACGAGAATAACAGTTTTCCGATAATAAATGGGCTAACCGTGCCTTTGTGGAACTAATTTTTACGCGTAAACATAGTGAATGGAACTGGCAGACACCAGTGACGAAATAACGTTGAGCTTTTCGGCAATGCAGCAGCCGACGACAAGGCTAGGAAATCAAAACGGATAATTTGTTTTGATTTGGCCACCCTCTTTCTACGCGTTACTTTCCACTCGGTCGGGCACTACCCTGCAAACAGTATCCTTCCAACATAATATCGATCCCGCTGAATGTAAAGAACGTTAGTTATGGTCGTGACTCTCTGTTGGTCAAATCAAAATCCATATAATTTGATAAATATGGATAAGTCTGATTGCATAATTGAACGAAAAAGATCGGGGTAATTTTTTCCAACACTACAGTAACCGAATCAGATGGTTTCGTATCTTCCAGTGTCGTACCCCAAGGCGGGCACACTTCTAGCAGCCAAACAAGGGGCACGGGTCCCTGCATGAACTTCCCCCCCCCCCAGTGACGGCGAATGATGGGAATTCGACTTCCATTGCTGCTTTCATCTAGATGCGGTTTAATCGGTGTAATGCTACAACTGGGGGCGCACTTTTAGGGTGGAAGTACAGAGAAAACGCTCTGCTGAAAAGGTGCTACCTAGGTGTTGCCATCAAGGATGAGCGCATTGCCTAGACCTCTGTTTGAACATACACCTTCCTGGTTGGCACAATGGTGTGTAGAAAAACTACTCATGGTTCGATTATCGCACATTCTCTAGTCGCCTGGGAGAGGTGTTCACTGTGCTCTACGTGACTAGCCTGGTTCTATCACAAAAACGTCGCGGTCATCAGAACGCACAGGGGTGAAATGTGCTTGAGTAAAATACCCTGCTCACTGTGATCTAGTCCATTTGACATTGCTTTGCTTAACAAGAGTAAAACTACTGTGCAGTGCTTCTTCAACGTAGGATTGACCAACAGAATAAGGCTAACACATCAAAAATACTCGCCGTAATACAAACATGGAAAACAAAGAATTCCACACTCACGTTTCCATTAGATTCAGGTCCAGCTGATCTGAATTATCAATCAAAATGCTGGTATAGACCGTTCAGATGGCATTATGTTACACAATCCACTGTATTTATTTACACTACCTGGCCTGAAACCGCCAACCAGACAACCCGAGTGTGCACTGACCAGACAAGGGATAGGTTGGAATGAAGCGGGGAATTAGCTTGCAGCTGTACGATGACAGTGCAGCACACCAATCAATGAATTCGATGAACGTGTTGGTAGCAGGTTAGGAGACAGGCACAACCGGGGCGGCAATGAGGATGAGGGTAGTGAACAGATGTACGCCTGCCCCACACATAGAAATTCCATTATTGTGTGGAATTCAGTGACCCTAAAAGCCAAAGGTTTTTGCATAAACATGATGGAATCCGAGCTGCACAGTCCTAGGTGAAACTCTTCAATTGAGGTTTCATCCTTCAAGTAAAGTCAACCTGTATAAAGAAGCCGAGTAGCGTTCTTCAGCTGTTTCACAGTAATTGGGAATTATCGGCACTGTGAACGTTGAAGCTCCCTAGGACGTCGAGCTCACGACCTTGAGGCCAGCAGCTCAACACTATATCAACCGGCAAGGCTTCACGTAGGCACCGCTGAGATCAGGTGTAGCGGAATTTACCAATAAATCGATAAAGCAGAAGGTACAGAGGGCTTCCTAAAGAAGGTGAAAAAGGCTAAGCGCACAGACAGATGGTAGTTGTTGTATCCACAAAATCCATTCACTTATTCAAGGAATTCTCGCCTAGTGCGGGGGCTGAGACTGAGGAACATTAGGCAGCTGGCTTCGTGCACTACACACTTGGGTTCATTGTCTTGATCAGAGTGCCTGAAGGTTTGTGTAACAGTGATGAAAGATGGGATGACAATCTTTGTGATCCTGAATATTCATCTCTGTTCACGGAATTTGAAAGCAGAAGTAGTGAGTAACAGAGTAAAGTTCCGGTCGTACAAAACACAGTTCGTTCACAGTCACACGGGTGACGAGTCTGAATGAGCGATAGAGGGTTTTGTAAGAAACATGAGAAGCTGAGTATCAGACAGTACGTTATACAAGGCATCCGGCAGGTATCGCACGGCGGAGCAGATTAACATCCGACTGTTATTCCTTGACGACATTATTGTGGGGCGTTGCTCTGTGGGACACAAGAAACATGAGAAGCTGAGTATCAGACAGCACGTTATACAAGGCATCGGATAGGTATCGCACGGCGGAGCAGATTAACACCCGACTGTTATTCCTTGACGACGTTATTGTGCGGCGTTGCTGTGGGACAATTGACGTGCAGTAGTATTGGGTGAAGTGCAACAATGAATACCAGACGTGGTGTATCTACTATCTTTGAGACTAGAAGAAATTAGGCGTCCGTTTATGGATCGGAATCAAAGTTCGACACCAAAGAGCGCTCAACCTTTATGTCAACATGGAGTCCTTGATCGACCAAACCAAGTGATAAATAAGTTATAAACAGACCAGATCATTCAACTCATGGAAGAGTTCCAATTCAGGAGACACGCGGCACATGGACTAGTACGCAGTATTGCTTCCTGGTAATGTGAGTCGAAAGACCGGAACCTATGAAAACGGATGTGACAGATTGGTAGATCAACCAATACCAGTGTAACGGTGTACACTACTGATGAAACGTGTGAGTAGTTTGTGGCACGACCATGCATCTGATGAAAGATTGATACGGAAATTATTGAACAGTTTTATAGTGGTTTGTTCATCGTTGCTTATTATTCAACCATCGTCCAGGAAGGCTCAGAAAGACGCTTGAGGATGCTAACTTCTTCGAAATTCTGTGAGGTCTTCAGTTTCATGTCTGGAAGCTTAGTTCGTGTTTGTCAGTAACACCGCATTCGAAAGTACCTTCCACTCACCAGTACTCGGTCGCATTGCTTATGATCAGACTGTGAATCATGATCAGCCAGCGCTGTGGATGTAAAAGAGGTGCAAAGACTACTGGAACAAGGAAAATCATTCGATGGGTGGAGAGCACCTGGTAAAATCCAATGGAATGAGGGTGAATTTGTAAAAAATGGAGAAACCCTAGTTACAGGGTTGACATCACGTGAAGAACACTGAAAGTTACCGAAGTAAAAAACAACTTACGTCGCTGCAAATTCGGTCGTCTGCTTCGAGGAGGAGATGGCACACTGGAACGCTGTGCGATTTATCGTATTGGGAGGGCTCGATTGATCGACTTGGGGCTGAAACCATTTAGAAGGGGACGATCTGACTAACCGAAACAATGGTGAATCTCAGTATCGTCTCACGCACAACGTGACATGAGACCTACATGCAAAGCAAATTACGGAACATGCGCAAGTGAAAACACAAAGGATTGAGCCCCACAAGTGGCCTACCAATCATCGTAGCCATATTCGACTTGATCATCATCATCATCATCATAATTGTCAGCTGTAATAACCGTACAGTAGTTGTAGCTGCCACAGTTTCGTCCAACGATGATTCGGGGAGGTGGCTTACTTGTCGTACAGTGGTTGTAGCTGCCACAATTTCGTTCACCGATGATTCGGGGAGGTGGGGTAGGTAGCTACGCATAGGAGGCGGAGGCTGATAAATTAGTGCGTAGATACAGCACTGTAGGTGAACTGTTAAGTGGGGTAATGGGGCAGGGAGCTATGCATTGAAGGCAACAGCTTGGATGCATGAGCACCATTGAGGGTGCGACTGGGCCATGTCTGACAATGTCTATAGCCATTGATGTGGCCCGTTTCCGGGTCTCCATCCAGAAAGACGGCAATGACCAGCGCAGCTGAGTTTGGTGGTAATGGCTTTTATACTTCGCTGCCAAGTCACCACTTGGCCGCCTCTAGCTCTCTTCCACCTTTCACGGGGTTGTGCGAAAAGAGCCCTTCGAGGAAGTCGGTCGACTGGCATACGTAACACGTGGCCAAGCCAGCGCAACCTATGAAGCGTGATCAGTTCACCTATCGAGGGTGAGTTATTTCTCCCAAATACCATTCGACCTACTTCAGAATTGCTGATCCGGTGTTCCCACCAGATTGGGGCAATGCTCCGAAGACATCGATGGTCAAACACTGAAAGTCTTTTGACGTCCTCGGCGCGCAGCGGCCAGGTTTCTTATCCGTATAGTAACGAGAAACACATTGACGCTCCGGAAATTACAAGAGTGGCGGAATTACGATTCACAAAAGAACCGTAATTTCGGATTGAAAAACAGGATGGACCTGCGTTGGAAGATTAACAAGATGTGTCACACAAAGTAAATGAGTTTGAAGCCGCATCATCGAGTTGCTAAGGTGTATTGCTATTTGCCTCATTTTGGACAAGTCACCAGTAATTGCGATGGGTGGTCGATGTGAGCTTTTGCGGGGCTAACCTGTTCCAACCGGTCTTTCTTAGCCGGGACACAGCATCACTGCTCCCGTAAGCATGATAATGCGAATCCCTGATTGAAATACCCTCCAATCGGGAGGTGATAGCTAACACTACCGTCCACCCAGACAATAGATATCATATTTGGCTTGCCGTTTCAAACTGGTTGTTAGTTGGCGCAACCAACAACCAATACAACATGACATACAATGAAAATCCACTTTTACAACGTTAACTCTCTGTTCTCATCATCTTCTAACCAAGTTCCGGAACAAAGCACATCCCCAGTTTCGAGGTCGTCCCCTATCAGACTGTTTTCGTCCCACAAGAGGGAATGAATTTATCCCCTAGTTAAAGTAACAAATATCTTTGTTATCTTTATTTTTCTCCTGTTGGTGATGAGGTGTCTAAACGATTCACCTAGTGAGTGTCAACTGTGATCAAAGTAGTCTGTTCAACTTCACACTTGAATTGTGTGTTTTCGGTGAAATGAATACTCATACCTCTAATCTCTCAAGCCAGCATCTCCAGCAGAACAACTACCAAAGGTACACGCGCAACAAGTCTGGAGTAATGTACGGCGCATTGTATTTAAACTGTACGCAACGGCAACAAGAAGGAACTTCTGGTAGCGCAACAGGGACTCAAAGGAGACTGGAAAAATGATTGGCTAATGAGCATATATTTTCGACTTGATGCTGACCGATATTCTGAACAATCACGTGCGTGGTAGGCTAACTTCGAGCGATATAACCTTTTGGGTGAAGATTCCGCCTAACACCTCTCTCATAAAATTAGCTGACGTAACTTTACGAGTTAGAGTTCAGTTGCGGTGGCTTCACGGGTTTGCGAACCCTCTGTGTCCACCGTCGCGGTTGTAGTGTGCGTTCGTGCTGAGCTTCAGGTCATGCAGCTAAGGCAGTCAATGTATCGAAACATTGGTGACTCGGTTGTGCTGAGAGTGGGTTTACTGATGGGAAGAACGATAATTTGACGAGCCTTCTACAATATAATGGTGAAAGTGTAAAGATTAAAAAAAACATCATGCACGCCAACTGTACCTGAACAACACCCATCAAGTTCGCGGAGTTTGTATGACTGGCTTCCTCTACCGCATCTAGCGCTTTTCTCCGAGCTTGAATGCGTCGTTGCATCTCACGCATCATGGACGAAACGGCTAAATTATGCGCATTTGATTTCGCAGTCTGGTTAGAATCTTGGCGATGCAGGGAAGGTTTGGATGTATTGCAGGACTCAGGCGCATCGTTTGACCTTAATTCTGTATCGGTTCGTTGTGGGAGAGGTGGTGGAGGAATGTATAGACCAGATGTCGGAGGTTTCACTGTGGAAACCGGCTATGAAAACGGGAGAGTCATATTGCAAAGCATAGCAGGAATTTTGTACATCGACTGTCGACAAGACGAATACAGAGTGATAAATACAGGAGAATGAACAGTGTGGTGGCTATCGTAAGCTAGTGGTTTTCGTTAAACCAACTTGTAACTCATTACATCTTTTACGCTTTGAACCTAGAGAAGTACCGATGTGATGAGTTCGTTTCGTCTGTCAATTGCCAAAAAACGACTTCTGTTGAACAAACCAACGAGGATTATTGGATAGGGACTTAAGTGCGTTGTGTTATGCACCGACTAGCAACTGAAGTGATATTAGCAATGATCAGGAGGAACGATTGAATGCGCACAGTCAACCGAGAAATGCAGGAAACATAATGAACTACTGAAATTCGGGTAGTAGTGACATTTTATTAACAAAATTTCAAGCAGCGAGCCGTCTCACTTTAATCGAATCGTCTTTTAGCGAAATAAACTTATTCGCGTAGCACTTTGGTTTTGCCGGGAGACAAATATGGTAAATTTCCCAATAGGACTGTAAGCACAACCGGACTGTTTGTAAACCGTATCAATAAGGTCACTGTGGGCAGCCGCACTCCATTTGTCTCCGACAACCGTATTTTGAGCTTGGCTACGAAATTACACTCCAAAAGGGACCACAGGACCAACGTCCGGGGAATTTCACAGATAAAAGGTGCTATTCGCATGCTAAACGTCATGGACAACAATGCAGGAAGCCGGTGCTTAAGTGTCATTCGGTAATGAAGGGAGAGGGCTCTAGTAAAATAAGAGGAGAGGGGAAGTGGGGTTTCATAGCTTAAAACCACCGAAGGCGATGAGCCTATATTCCTCAAGATCATCTAAATAAACCCATCTGAGAACTGTATTGAAACAAGACACCATTAGCGTCTTTCTCCCAACAAAAGCTTAACGCACAACAAAACTCAGTCCGGGTAAGGACTGGCAGCATGCCCTACACTGCAAACGGTCACGGGCCATGTACTGCAAGGATTTCAAGTATTTAGCGCCTCATCCATCTGCATAACACGCTCTTTGACGGACAGTCTTTAGACTTATATCGAACTATTCAATCATTAACACATGACAACGTTGTAAGTGTGTACGCCAGCGTAAATAAAACACCGATTTAATTGGATTGCCTGTAAGCCGTTTCATCCCTGTCAGAAACCATCAACAGCGAGCATCTCCCAAATTTTGGGAGAGAGTTTAACCCATAGCTTTCTGGATGGAGGTTGAACACCAGTGCTCGTGGGGTGTGGGCTCGCTGCAGACCGATGTCTGCTGACCGTTCAAAAAATGAGACCCCAAGGGATCAAACGTTTTAGTAACTATAGCCCTCAAGGGCATTACAGCAGCCTGTTGTAAAGTAGAAAGTGAAAAAAGCGTCTTGCGATTCTCGAGGCCGATCGCTTAGTACTCAGGGAGCAATGTTCATCAGTACTGATAACACAATATGTGTCATTTTTAGTCTAAAATGCACCTAAACTCACCGAGGGCTTCGATTTTTGTTCTGCTGACGGACCGGCACCAACTGAAGTGGCTTCCTGAATTGGCATGGTCATACACACTTGAGGAGGTTCGTTAGACTGTGCCAAAACCCGTTCACCTAGTTTTGGTGAGAGTGGTGGTGGTGGGGCATTTGCAACCAGAGTAGCTGGAGACACTGGGCTTTCAGGAGCCGTCTCCGCTGTGTCCGCTAGTCCAGTGAACTCTTCCGTATGATGTACGATTCGATTAATGGAAGAGTCCCGATATGAGGGGCTTGGACTAATCGGCTGCTTGTGAATAAATACTGAAGACGTACGTTCGGAGGCTGGAATAATTTGAAGAGGGGAGTGAGGCAGTCGTTCCGGAAACAGTAAGATTGCCACAAAACACCTACGTGGAACTCAAACACTTACCGTGGTATGAAGAGTGTGTCTCCGTGGCTGCTAACATGAGCGGATATCTGGGGCCGGTAGAAGATGGTCCCAACATTCCACTACCTGTGCTCATACTGCTCGTAAAGCTGGCCAAACTGCCAGATCCCGAATAACCATAACCATAGCCGTAACTGATAGAGGAGGCTGATGACGGAGCCGCTGTGGAACCGGGGCCTGTTGCATAACCCAAACTACCTGAAGAAGTATTGGAGAGCTGTCGACGATGGCTAACCAGTGGGGGTGTCGCAGTCGGCTGGGTGGCCTCAGAATCTCCGGTGAGACTGACAGCAGGTGTAGAACCACCGACTGTCGCGGAATGTGGTTTGGGCGCTGGCGAGCTTGGATCACAAATGTCTAAGCGGTTGTCTGTTTCGCGACAAATTGTGATTTCTCGGCTGAGCGGAAGAGAGGGGAACACAGGGCGACGTGAGACTGTAAAATTAGGCCTAGTGCAAATAAGTTTAAAACTTCTAAGTGACGATCGAACACTGCCAGCTGAAGCAAGTATTCGGATAAAGACCACTGGAGTAGAAAATTTATTCCGTCTGCCTCCAATCAATACTAGCTGTTTGAACACAGTTACCGCCTCCAAGTACATAACCTCTTTTCATTCATAAAAAGGAACTGAAACGCATAGACAAACAGTCAACAGCTAACGAACGCCAGTTGTTCATGCAAACGTGCAGTGACGGATGGTGTATACGGACGATGAGAACCATACTTGAATATAGATCCAAGTACCTCCAAGTCATTAGGGAGTGCAGAACTAAATGCCAGCCACTGACTGTGTCTGCCCCTCACTAAGACCCACAAATTGACGGATCGGATGCCAACCACTGGGAAGACTTCCGACGATTTCAAGGACGGATTGAAGGTAAAGGCTGAAGTACGGGGTTCTCACGCGGTTGAATCGCTACAGCTCAAAATGGCTGCTGGAACTGCAGCTACACTACGAACATACGGCGCCAGCAATGATTTATCACAATGTCTTGTAACCTGCAAAGACATGGCCAAAATGTTGAGGAGATAACCGGCACGGTAACTTTGTGTTGATCCATCATCCTTTCATCCTACCACAAGTTGTTTAGTTCTATAGATCACCTGTTGAGGCACCTGACGATGAGACGCTTTCCGAAAAGAGCCACGAAAGTCCTTTTGTGTCGTGCGGAATCGCCTTCATCTTCACCATACAGCTGATCCATTATCAACACCTCCAACACAAGTTCGGAATAAGTTTAAACATTTCAAGTGGTGGATTTGGGCACATAAACTACTGGGTGATATGGAAAACGGGTACGTAATTGGTAAGGTAGTGAAGTCTTGGTTCCGTGCAATTAATCAGGGTAAACCAGATTGCAGAACATGAAAAGAGAAACACAGGATTGCGGTATGTGGCAACTACTGGACTTGGACAGCGTGGATATGCGTTGGGCTCAAACTGAGAGGACTGTTCGATAGCATTTTCAAGGGGATGCCACGAGCGTCAAAGTAGTTGCTGAATACGGAGGTGTGTAAGACATTCCTAAAGATTCCACTGCATTTACAGACGACTTAATGACCTATCTGTAAGACAACAGCCTGTCTTAGAAAGACCAGGGAAGAAGAGTAGGTCCGAAAGGAGAAACACAAGCATCAATGAGATTTAAGGGCACAAATAGCACCCTTATTTGAAAAGGATGAACGGAAAGTTGTTGGACTTTGGCAGACGGGGTCTCGGAGAGATGCGATCGTCTGAGGTGATTGATCAGGATGACTCCGAGGTACCTGATAGACGCACTGGACGGTGACGATAAGCTGTCACCGAGGTCTTGAATACTCAAACCAAAAAACGTCACCTGTGAGTAATGACCGTTATGTATGGATACAAAAGTGACAGTTTTACGACCCCCGCACAAAGTTCACGTTGCTACATGGCTGCAAATGTTTCGGACGATTTTATTGGATAATTGGTGGATTTGTTTTTTGGAAACACTACGCTTTTTAACTCAAAATCTTTGTCCGACCAAAATTGCTCGCGTTTTATGTAAGGCAAACCAAGATCCCATTCTACTGTCAGCCTAAACCCGCGAGGTTTCGCTTGTTATGTGGGTCACTGGGGGTCAGTTACATGAAGTTGAGCGGGGCATAGGGTCTAGTTCTACCGGTTCACCTATTGTAACGATTCATCTTGAGCGTCATTAAGATAAGATTATAATAATAAAAATAATCGTTCAGCTGTAACACCCTCTTGATGCCCAGCTGCCATGCCACACGAAGGAAGTACAAGGGCTGGACTGCCAGGTTGCCAGAGCGTAGACAGGAGAGGTCGAGAGCCAGAGGTCGGGTTCGACCACGGACCTTCCGGTCAGTAAATTCGCGCTCTCACCCCCTTGAGCGTCATTAACAATTTTTGTTGGTCTATGTGGGTGAACTTTCGTTCAGAATGTATTTAGAACCCGTGGGGGGAAAATCAGGTCCAGACCACTGAAAAAGCATTTTGGAAGGGTGTACAGTAAATTTTCACATTTGATGGGAGTTTAGAAAGGTATCTCCATGAGATAAAAAACGATGGGATATTGTACAGTCAAATATCGATCACCCCAAACGTTGTCTTCCACCATAGAGGCCAAGATGGCTCAAGTGGTTAGAGCACGAATATACTGACCAGAAGGTCCGTGGTTCGAACTCAACCTCTGCCTTTCGACTTCCCCTGTCTAGACTTTGACAACCTGGCAGTATCCCAGTCCTCGTGCTTCCTCCGAGTAGCACGGCAGCTAGTGCTACAGCTGGGCGATTTTTTTGTCTTTCGCCATCAACAGATCGCTGAAGCCTTCGTAGCTGGTTTAGTGAATGCCTGTTATCCAATTTCAGTAAAAGGAGTTTCAAGGAGCTCCTGCACATCACGTCTGACAATACAGACAACCGGTTTTCAGTTTATGTCGTAATAGTTTACTACAAAACGACTTTAAGCGAGTAGGTACGGTCAGGTAACATAACGAGAAACTGCACCCTGACGAAAAAAAGACGGGCCCGTGTTACGAAGTACAGTTTTCCGGTAGTAGTTCGCGAGGACAACACACACACGGTGGAAAATACCGAAGGTTTCATCACATTTGTACACTAATTGTGAACATTCACTTTATCGACCAAGAAAATCAAGGTACTCTCTTTATGATACAGTTTTTAACAACCTTCGTAAAGGTACAGTGAGTTTTTTCCGCATCGACGGAGCTGAATGTTCCATATATTTGAGTACCTGGATTCGGTACTATGAGCCGGCATATTGATCCTCAGGTTCAGTCATCTAATTCGCTACGAATGGGTGACATATGTGACGTGATATGATTCAGTATGATCAGCCACGGGACCGTGGGCAGACGAACATCTAGCGGAGAAGCGTATATGTGAGATGAAATGCCTTTCTCCTGTTCTAATTTCAGAACAGCGGCAATATGGCTGATAGTCTAAGGGGCTACATGGAAACAAATTGATCTCCACTGTAAATATTAGACAGATGGAGGTGCATTGGTTGACAAAAAATGGTCACTGAGAAGGAGTTGCGGGTGAGAAGCACGCATCTGAAGGGGGTTGCTTCACGGTAGCACACTAAGCGACACTTCGGTTATTACTATTTAGAGTTTCTATTTTAACCGGTTGTCTCGTGTGTGTGGCGACCGTGAGAAAGCGACCATGCTTGGCAGTTTGTCAAACAGAAACCAACTGAATTACAACCCACTGCAGTGTTGGTCGTCCACCTCTCCGTGACTACGACCAAGGAGGTATGGAAGAATAGGAGGTGATAAATTAGTCGCGGTGGGAAAAGGCGCCGCAAAAATGACCCGCTACTGAGGAAATGCCTAGCTGACAGTATTGTACACATAATCGCCCACATGATACAGTCAAGTTCCATTGCAATAGCCCGTTCTCAGTAATGCGTCAATTATCAATCGATCCTAACCGAAAGCAGACATTTTTTGAATAGTGATCGGACGGTGAGCGTCTAAACCAAATAAAGCTAATCAAACATCATAATCGGGCTCCGCAGTGAGATCCCTGAACTATGGCTCTGATTCACATACAAGGTTAGCAGAGGATTCAGGCAATCACGAGACAAATCCCTGGTTTATTGCGTTCTTTAGCTGAAGGTGCCACCTAAAGGCTGCCGTAGAATTCAGCTGAGCTGATGAGCAAGGTTCCGAAGTATTGATCTGTACAAACGGATCGAAGAGAGACAGATCGAAAGCCGCTCAATTTGATCAATCCTACCGCATTACTTGATAATCTTAGTGATGAAACCGCGAAACGTAGTTGAGCAATCAGGACCAACGGTAATGAATGAAATCCATCGGTTGAGAGACGAAGCACCTGACAGACGGACCGCTTGCAACCACTTCTCACGCATGACCTGTGGTCATGTGTTACACGTGACACGAACATATTGGGCTTGGACTAGTGGGATACTGCACCACAAAGAAGCAAGTGAGCGATCGTAAGTCGGCTATCGGGAGTGGGCACTTGAAAGATAGAAGCAATGAAACAAGCCAATCACGTGAAACCTGATGAGCAGGATCACGACACAAATCCGCCGGTATAATTGTGCAAGGAAGTCCCCTCACGGTACAGTACATTGAATGCGCTGAGCGTCTACCGACGAATCATACCGGTTGACTTGGATAAGGTTAAACACATGAGAAAAAAGTTGTACGCATATTAAGCTTTCCAGTACAGCATTCGGATGACAGTGCTTACGTTTGCATAGGCAAGTTACACCTGGAGCCTATGCTTTGCTGTCATTTGCGACGTGAGCTACTGCAACTTTGTAGATAGGCGTCATTCCGTCCCACGTTCCTCACCGTGGGAAGTTGTGGCTTTCAGACAGTCGAACACAACATACTGTGCATTGGTCCAAAACACAACCATTGGCGGGGTAGATATGAAACTAGATTCGCTAGTGGTAGTGTACACCAGAAAGCAACACACCACTGTGCATTGTCAAGATACCGCAGCCTGGGCCATTATCAAACGATCCACGATCCTATCAGCTGGCAGTACCATAGAGGTGAACTCTTTTGACGGATGTCTCGTATTATCCTTACCAGCGAACGACAGCCAGGGACTAGATGTGCTAGATACGATGGTTCGTGTTACTACAGGCCTTAATCTACCCACCGTGGAGATGGCGAAAGCCACGAAGTCGACGGATAGGTGGTTATGCCAATTCAGTGTGGACAATAATGGTGGCAAAGCCATTAAGTGATGATGCGGATGCTTGACAACTTGTGGGAATGCATCGTAACAGGAGCTAGATAGTTGAAAACCACAGGAATGGTGATGATTCAAAGAGCCTCAGGAATACAAGCAGCACATAGCAAGGTGACTGGTCAGTGATTGAAAGTTTCGCTTACGAATCAATTATTGATCGTCTCTGATACGGTTATACACAAGCCATGACACATTAAAAGCGTTCGGTTGGGTAAACAGTTCTCTGAAGTAACGTTTTCCGTGGACTTTCGAAAGCTCGTCCATCTGAAGCAAGTTGGTTCTGTCAAAAACCACCCAAATTTTTTTGGCATTAACAGTCTTGACCCATATGATGTTCCAGATGCATAAAGGTCAAAGGCAAAAAGTCGCCTAAACGAACTGGACGTGCTTTTGGAACGTGGTGGGATCGAGCACAGGATGACAGAGTAGAGTTTGCATTAAACAGAGAAGCTGATTTCACATTGAAACGCGAATTGTTATATCCTATTCTGATTGCAGCAAACAACTTCGTATTTCCGATTGCGGCCAAACCGTCCCACACTGAAGTTGGGGCGATCACGCATCGTATAAGGAAGGACCTATAATCACCGCCGACTAAGGTAAGATCAGGTAATCTAATCTGAGAAAAGGTGAACGAAGAAGACAATAGTAAGGAAGGAATAGGGTCATAAAAACGAACGAAATCAGTGTGATTAAAAATGTAGACGGACTGTGGGCGTTAAATTGTTGAATTGCTATGCAGACGATGGAGGAGTGTATTGGGAGATTCGATCCATGATACGGATGTGTGTGGAGAATTTTTCCAAGAGACGACTCCTTCAGAAGGGGCCACTTTTGGTTCCACTCTTGACGCCTCTGTCGGGCTTCAAACCATCTACCAACTTGGATCAGGAACTGCCTTTTGAGACGTATTTTCGTCAAAGGTGGGAAATGCTCCGCGCTTCGTTGGCCTGGCGGACTAACATGCTTTTTTCTTGATCAGAAAAATCCAAACACTCGGTGCATGTGATACACGTGAGTCAAAGGAAGGAATTAGTGACAAACCCAGCCGTTTGTTGCGATCGGGACCTTATCTCTGCCGGTATAATCCAGATTTAATCGACATGATGTGACTCCCATCGCTGACTCATATGATTCATCTGTAGTGTGCAGAGATCACTCACGCCACCGCGTAGGTCGTCCGACTTTTCAGTGTCATGCCGCGGTTGACATGGTCGCCTCTGTTAGTTTCAGTTTTACTCATTTGGAGGCAATGCTGAGATCCCATCGGCTCATATTTGATGAAAACTAGGAGCTTCCCAATCTCATCCGTAGCACAGCGGCACATTCAGGCGATTTTTTAAAGGGAGAACAATTGCATAAGAAATGTAGGCCGAGATGGTGTTTGTTCGGAGGCCAGCCGTCCCTAATAACCGAAAACCACACCATTTGGACGGATGTGTCACGTGCAGGGCACGGGCCAAACGAAGGCATGCCCTGATTGGTCAGAATGCCAGCCAATCCGAGTCGAGCATCCTTGACTCGACGCTTCTCGCTCCCTCACGGAGATTCTGGTACGATCTTGTGGAACACTCGGTGACTACACTATAAATACCGTTGTAATAATTTTCCTTTGTCTTCATAAAGGGCTGTGTGGAGCTACCGTGCCTTTTGATATACTATAGTGGGCGGAGCAGGAAGCCAAGGGACCGATACAGAGTTGCACTACCGTTCAGCAAGACACAATATTACAGTTGAAACGACTGATTGGAATTACGAAAACCTCCGGGTGAAACTATTCCTGTGAGTGGCTGGCTTCGCATGTGTGAAGGGTTTCGCTCTCATTTGAGCTAACCACCGGTACTTATTCTGACCTGATCATGTTATCCGGATGTTGCCTGGCTATTGTAAGAGGTAATCGCGTGTGCCGAAGCATCAATCCAAAACATTCAACCATAAGGGGGTGATGACATGACTTTCAGACTAACTGCTTCGAAATATGGGACAGTCATTTGTCAAAAGACAACGAACTCTCTACTGATACAGCGAAGGTGCATGCTTCCACCAGACTGCAAAATCCCAAAAAAGCAGGTATAATTATTCAATAGACAAGAGCAGATTCCAAACCTATGAGTGGCAGTCTGTCTGGTGATTCACTGGTGTCACGCCCATCGGTGTTGGACAGTCACGATGTTACTCCATTTACAGGTTACTTTGCTTGTCGTCAGATGGACGCACCTATACTGCCCTTCGGTGTTTACAGATGTAAAAGTTGCTATGTTTAGTCACACACGACAACATCTCAAGACGCCGTAATTGTCCTTAATGTTGTCCTCAAGAGTTTGTTCGCTGCGGTCTAGCCACGGCTAACGCAATTAAAACAATTCCTTTGATGTGAGAAACTGCTCATAGGGTTGTTGAAAATGCTTTCCCGTTAGTACCAACTTAAGTTACAAATGAGTGTAGTTCACCAGGCCAGGAACTCACTAGGCCATCAACTTGGGCTTCGCTGTGTCCGTTGCCAGACTAGGCATTCGATTAGTGACGAAAGGGATGAAAAACAGCTTCAGAAGGGAAATCAATACCAGTTGAGCACCAGCGAAACTGAATTTTTTTTCTACCTTATAACCCAATACAGACGGCTTGATCTGAGTCGAAAATGAAGTAGTTTATGAATACGAAGGTGCATGAAAGGCATCCACATGTGGGATTGGGTAGCCGGTAGAGAACAGTACGCGACAGAAAAGCTCGGTTATACGACTGGATGGATGCGAACATACTGTTGGACCACAGTGATAATGGGTAATCGTCCAGCTGTGACACCCTTTCGGCGCCTAGCTGCTACACCACCCGAAGGAAGCACGAGGGCTGGGATAGTGCCAGGTTGTTCAAGCCTAGATAGGGTAAGCCGAGAGGCGGGTTCGAGCCACGGGCCTTCCGGCCAGTAAATTCGCGCTATAACTACTGAGCCGTCTCGCCCACTTTGATGCTTAGTTAAATATTTAGCGATTGGGCGAAAATGTATGCACATCCAACCGTTGATTTGCAGCAAACTACATGAGTGCTAAAGAAGTAAATAGTCAGCAGCCTGGAATTGCTTTTTTCACAGTCGATCCCCGTCTTTGCAACGTTTAGGCCTCGTTCAAACAACTGGTTCAGTGATTCACAAAGGACCTGATGATTACCAAGCAATATGCTTTGAAGTCTACAGTAGTTTTACACTAAAAGTATCGTTAGATCCCAAAAAACCCAAGTGTCACGGAGTTTTTCGACCATTATTGGGAAATGAGACTCCACGCGTTCAGTAGTTGCAGGATCTGAACACATTTTCAACATAATGGCATGAAGGAATATTAATTTTGAACGTTCGGTGGGCACTTTTCTCCTACAGATAACGCACGTGACGCTGTCAGGCCAACCATAGTGTGAGACTATACGAATTTACCGATGGAGACGATGGTACAGGTGTACCGGCGGATACTACTGATGAGGCATGCGAGTAGTGTATGGTTTTCTCGTAACTCCGCCTCGCGTCCAACGGAAGGTGGGGTGTATTACAGAACCCGTGACACTACTTTTCAGCGTTCGTTTACAATTGCTTGATAGTCAATGAATATCCACGAAAGTTCAAGAAGACGCGTGAGGATATTCAGTTTCTAAAAATAAGGTGCATATGTGATGTTTACTTTCCTGTCCAATAATTTGTAACTGCTTAGTTAGTGTTTGCTAATAAACGACTTCGCGGCGGAGGACTTTCCTCTTTCTCTGTGCACGTACGTCTTCCCCAATGCACCATCGTGACGTGTCGTGCTTCCGTAAGTTTATTCTTATACGTCCTTTCTGTAAATGTCTTCGTATTTCGTGTCTGCGGTCGATTGAAAAATCAAAGGAAAATATTAATGGTTCGCAATTTATTATCCAGACATAATCGACCTAGGAGACCCATTGTTTCGCAACCTGCACTGATTACCAGAATGCCATAGGTGATTGACGGAGTTACTTAAGGTTTATCCCGAGTGCATTAAATGTTTTATTTCCGATCCCGGTTATTTATTCGAAGCAGAGCGTTGTTCTATATATAACCAGACTGTATATACGATTAGTATGATGTTTTGTCGCAAGGCGGAGAGGAAAACAACTACCAGTCGAATGTGACGTCATTTGTAATAGAGCTTATGGGTGGATCGGGGGACCGGTGGTTCACAAGTCGTCGAAGGTAGACGTGACAAAAAGAGCTGAACGACCGATCATAGCCCAGATTCAGTAGGCCAATGGAAATAGCTAGCTCATTCAATCTCCCACTCATACGACGAGAATGTAGCTGAATGGAAGAACCAACTACACATTTGCCAGTTGGTGTGAAACCAGGTTCGCCATTTCTATGAATCTATTCGAATTTCACACAGGATTTGTTCGGTATGCAAGTGATGGTCCCATGGTCCCCGTTGACAGACAAGCTGCACGAGCTTGATTTCCTCACTATCCTTTGACAAGCGAGTTTATTAGCCCGTTTGGCGATTCAGTTGATTATTGTGAGTGCACATCCCACAGCTTCTGGAAGCTGGTCTGTCACACATGTCCGTTCTCGTGAAATGCGTGATTCTCTAGCAGAGAAGGATGAAAAGCAGTGTTGCCTATTGACCTAGTTCAGAGACGCCAGTATGCATACACTCCCTGTTCAGCCTGTGATCTCTCTCTCTCTCTCTGTGTGTGTGTGTGTGTCTAGAAGTAAAGTGCGACAAAAGTTCGCCAGAAGATCAACGTTTTCGCGACTCAACCAACTCTACTCAAAACCCTACACCTGGAGTGAACGCTCCAAAGCGAAACGCGGTTGTTGAAGGGCCGAATTTTGTGACATCAACTGAAACCTCTTCCCAGGACTGAAAAGAAGACATTCTGCTAGTTCTGTTGCACCCCCAAAGAGAAGACACATCGATACCTTAGTTTCGGCAGCGAGTCACAAAACGGTCGACATCTCCGTGGTAGATTTGTGACACGATTGTGGGCAAGATCCAATCTGAGATGACAGGTGAATTAGAACACTAGCAGCCTGGGACATGTCACATGATAACAATACGATGAGATGAGACAACTTCCATGTGTCATAGAAGAAGCGAGAGTTCAAAACGTATTGATCTGCCTATGGTTACTTAGTATTTCTGAGTAACGTCTACTGCAAGCAGTGCAATGATTCTTAGTTGAGAATGTCTTGGAAACACAAACAGCTTTGGTGGCCCGGCTGAAGCACTGGTACTTCTCAACAAAGTGCATCTATTCACATTGATTGAAGTGAAAAACTTCACGCAAAAACTCTGTTAACCAATAACGGGCGTCACAGTGGCATCATACAAGCCTATCCCTAACCAGAAGGAAATAGCTGTGTCCAGGAGACATTTTTTGTCAGTCTCCATGGTGTTTCCTCTTGGAACGGAAGCATAGTTATTCGTCGGTTTTCTAGCGTAATTTGGTATTGCGAACTTTCACGTGAATATCTATTGAAATGACACAAAGGAAACAAAAGTAAGTAGTCTACTGGTAAAACTTTTACTTCTGGTGAGTCCGCATCAAGGCGAGGGCACTGGGTCAGGGTTTCGCTCTTATCAGATCTCATTAGTAGTGCATATTCTTGACTGTGCCGGGGTTTGAACATCTGTCCTTCGAAGCACAATTGGACACACCAGGCTTATTGCGTTTGAACAAGCGAACCTATTCACGCTTGGGAATGTCCGCGAAATTTGTGAGCAAAATCCGGTCCGCATAGTCACATACTTCTGATAGTGTATCAGAATCTCCCTAAAAGTGATGTATAAAAAGAATGTCTACTCTTCCATTTTCGTCCAACTTCCTTATCGAAGAAATAATGAGAAGAACGCTGGAGGGCCTCCAAAACCCCGGTGTTCAAACTGTTGCCAGCGAGAGCCTTGTGGAGCGGGAGTACGCAGAGGACATCGGTCCAAACCTTCGAAGTCGAACACAAAGCGCAAGCGATACACTGACCACCGTACATAATTAGAAAACATACATCTGGTTGTGCAGCAGGTACTTTAGTCAAGGGGAGATTCAGCACTGTCAACTGAAGTCACGTGCTACACATGCCGAAACATCGTCTAGCGAGATGTTCTCCGTGCCTCTTTCAGAATGCCGCAAATCGTGAGGTGGACAACGTGACATGGGAGCGGTGTGAAAAACATTGCGGAGAGTTCAGATATTGTTGGCGATGTCTGCCTTTTAGGATAGAGTCCCCGTGACCCACCTGGGTTTGGCCGAAGGAATTAAAACAAATCGCGGGTAAACTACGTCAGTGGCGTTTGTGTTGTCAGTTTCTTTCCAGATTGTCTGATTAAGTGCCTGGATGCGTGGGAGCCTCAGGATGCTTGTAGCAGGAGTCCTCACTCGCCCACTGTTTTCCCTTTTCACTTAAGGCCCCTCAAACAACTAGATAAATATTGGAATAAATTAAATGAATTTGGTTCGTGTGGCAGTCAAGAACCCGTATCAACATTGATGCTACTGTCTCTGATGATGATGACGATGATGTCAATGACAACGTATCAGCGTTGTATTGCTACCTGAAGTCCTGACAGGCAGGAGTTGGTGGATCGCCGTTCTTGGATTTGGGCAAAAACAATCACGCAACCAAGGCTTGGACTCCTTTGACTGTTCAGACGTGATAATCCAAGTGTGTCCAGACTGTACCGATGGAATAGTGGTAACAGGCTGGCAACGTGCGTCAGATGTGCAGAGTTCACGAAACTGACTGAGCTACTGGAAACTAACGCCACACACGCAACTTACCGATCCTTATTGGAACAGGTTCTCAGCGGCGCGTGGGCGCTCGAGTTGGGAGCTGGTTTGGACAACGGGATTGCGTATTCGCCTTTACACTCCAGTCCACCGTTGAAATAGTACTGCTGCTCTCCACGTGAAGCGGGTTGTTCACCATCACTGGATTGAGAAGCTGGGGTGACTAAAATGGTGCAGTTTTTATTCGGAGCTAGCGCATGACTGGCTGAATTGGTGCCGACTCGAGACTCATTCGACGGATTGGTTCGGTCTGCAGGGTCCTCCCCGTTGCTGTGCTTTGGTCCGGCAGTCGGGAAGGATCGCTGAACCATTGTGTGATCACCTGCCTTCTGGTCAGTCTTTGTACGAGTAGAGGAAGGGACAAGAGAAAAAGGAGAAAGGAGAGAACATGTGTAACACAATCGGTACTGAAGCGTAAAAAGAGGAAGTGGTGAGTTAGGGACTGGCACAGACAGAACCATAGGCCATAGCAAGCAGTTGTCCATCTAGTCACATCAAGTAGGCCTCAGTAACCTTGGAACAATCAAAATTATTATGGGCTGCTTGACATTAAGTTCACTCTTGAGAAAGACAGCAACATATTTGGCGGTTGCGTCGAAAAATCGTTCGGCTGTAACACTTTTTCGGCGCCTAGCTGTCATGCCACCCGAAGGAAGCACGAGGGCTTGGATGCTGCTGGGTCACCCAAGCCTAGACAGAGGAAGTCGAGAGGCAGAGGTCTGGTTCGAACCCCAGACCTTCTGCTAAGAAATTCGCGCTCTAATCACTGAGCCATCTCGGTTGCAAAGCCTACTTGTCCTCAGTTAATCACTCACCGAGGATGTAATCCCTGTTCGCCAGAGCACAGTGTCTGATAGGGACCATATATTAGTCGTACAGTGGCTACATCTGTTACAGTTTCGTTCAACGATGATTTTTGGGGAGGGGCGGTAGCTGATGTAATTGGTGCGTTAATACTTGGTTATGAGTGGGCTTTTCATTGGAGCGATTTGGAGAGGAGCTATGCATTGAAGGCAATAGCCAGGCTGCACCAGCGCCATTGAGGGCGAGACTGGACCATGTCTGGCGATGTCTATAACCACCGATGTGTCCTGTCTCGGTGTCCTAATCCAGAAAGACGGCCACGACCAGCGCAACTGAGTTTGCTGATAATGGCTTTCATACTTCGTTGCTAAGTCAGTGTTTGACCCCTTTTGACTCGTTTTCACCCTTCATATTGCTTTGAGGAACTGGCTCTTCGACGAAGTCGGTCAACTGGCATACGGAGAAGGTGACCAAGCCAGCGCAAACTATGGCGTGTGATCAGCCCACCTATCGTGGGCGAGTTACCTCTTCCAAAAACCATTCGATGTACGTCAGCATTACTGGTCCGGTGTTCCCACCAGACTCTGGCAATGCTCGAAAGATATCGATGGTCAAACAGTGATGTTGTCGGCACGCAGCAGCTTGGTTTCTGACCGACACCGTCAGGTCACCCACATCCAGATAGGAACAAACAAAAGGCCAAAGATTGATCATCATAGGCTTTCCGTTAGGTAGCTGGCGCCTTGAACTGTTTTAGGCGATACGCACGTGCCAATGATGCTCCCGCACAGAATGGGTCAACGATAGCATCGGGAAGAATGTTCCTCATTAGGTGGTCAGAGCGACTGACTGCCTATTGACTCACCAAGTTGACAGAATACACGGAGAAGTAGTAGGATTATTTGAGTCCAATATATTTGTAAGTAGTACGTCCGTGTCAGTGTGAGAGTCACATGAAAACCTCACTGAGGGTACTGACAACAGATATTTGTGTTAGGTTAGCCCCAGGTCCCCGTCCCCATTTATCTCTCATCTTTTCAGTATAAGACTTCCTTTGAATTGAATTGTCGATGATGATGATGATGATGACGATGAGGAACAGACTACAACGCACACAGATCAACTGTATCGTGACATTGGCATAGATACAGTTAATAGACGCTAATTGTTGGAAGGAAGCAACCTGATATCAAGGTGATCGTGAAAAGTCTGAGTGATGTTCAGAAGAGCATGGTGGTAGGAATGAGTTACTGTTACTAGGCCCACAAAAAAGGATGAGTAGAGTCAATCACAGCAACACCAGTTTCTTGTGCTGGAGGCTAATGAGACGGATAGGGAACGATACTGAATAGTGCTCACTTACCGGGACTGGGGCGGGACTCTCCAGTTTCGTAAGGACCAGATTAACAGTTTTCATAAACGCTTGTGCATCCTCAGTGTCGGGAAAATGCAGTCCATATACACGTAGAGTGATAGGATCACGCCATTCTTGAAACTGCCCGTGGGACTGGTACTCTAGTCCAGCTTTGAGAACCGAATTGACCACGATCTGTGGGATACACAGTTAGGGGTGTGAGATGGTGATAAAAAGCGATAAGAAACTGTAGGGAACATAAAGGTGTCGTGTAATGGAACGGGGAAAACAAGGGCATCAACTATCAGAAGACGAACAGCAAAATAAAAACGCATACATTGTGTTTGACTAATTGTTGTCTGAGTAGCTGGGTTTTTGACCCCAGAAGCCTTGGGGTCAGCGCATCGACCGCACTGAGGTGAGAAACTGTGACAGTAGGTCACGTGCTTTCCACACTTAAGAAGCGTTGTAGAAGAAAATACTCTGTTTATGCCACAATTTCTCTATATATCGAGGCGATACAGTTGAGCTACTTCATGTATTCGGATACCAAACCAAATAGTTATTTAAATACTGGGAGTTATGGCCGAGACGTCCATTTTATGACCAGAACTAACGTGGTCATTGACCTCATACTAAACAAAATTAGATCGACCTCGCGTGAGAAACAGAACAGGAATATACACCCATTTGCCAATTAAGTTGGTATTAAGGGACCTATTGAAAGAGGCAGTGGGATGCGTTAATTGTCAAAGCCTCCGCACAGTGCTCTTCGCAAGGCTTATTTTTTGATTGGCTGAGTCTGGTCATCAGGGCGTGCAGACCAGTTTCAGAATAGCACGTCCAATTGTATTATAGTTCGTTTTTACGATGCATATCCTGCCAGCAATAGGCAGGGTTGCGCTCACTAACTCGTTGGCGGATCAAAAAACGATCATAGAGACGGACTTGAGCATAGATCGGCTTCAATTACAGGACACAATCTCCTTTGTAATAAAGATTTTTTGATGATGGTTGCACACTACTAGGCCGTAAAAACGCCTACTATCAAGTCTTCATGGTCACAAGATGGGTGTAGAACTGACAACGGCCAGCTCAGCGGTTCAGGCACGAATTTACTGACCCGAAGGTTAGAACTTGGCTGTTCCTGCTCCGGCTTGGATAGCCTGGCAGCACCTCAGCTCTCGTGCTCAATGGGGGTGGGATGGCAGATATGCTGAACGATTATTATCACTATTATCATTATTACCACTCTTGCTAATATGATTGGCGACGGCAGCTGTTCTACTGGGCTAATATCTAATGGGCAATATAGCACGATGAAGTCCGGATCAAGCAGTGGTCAGAGTCAGGATCGAAGGAAGGTTTACCGAAGGGTGAACGCACCTAGCAAGGAAAATCCATAGAAAATTTACCTCACTGGCAGAAACAAAGTTGGCCCAAACAGCCACATTACCAAGATGTGTGTTATGACAAATCGCATCTGAAAAGCAATGCACCGTTGGACGGTAAAATGCATAGTATTATCACAGGAAGGTCACATTCCTGAAAGCAACCACTGAATGCCCGAAATCCACCGAGACTCTCAGCTCCGCTAGATGTTGATCAGACAAACAACACCCCCTCAATATGCAGCGCGTCACAGCCTTGTATCAAACCCAGACAGCGCGAGTCAGCGTTGATCAAGGTCAGACAACTCAGCTAGACGGCATGCGTCAGCACTGGACCAAGTTAGACACTGTCCCTCCAATAAATCGCTTGAGACCGTTGTATTTTCGCTCTCGCACGCACGCACTCGCTTGTTCGGAATATAGCCGTTGTGTTCCCTTCTGTGTCTTTTTTTGGCAACTAGGCACTGGAGCGGGTCAGCAGCAGATACCACAGTTTGGCGAATCAGCAGATATAAGAAGTATACATACACTGCGAAGTGATTCAATACGTCCCATATTTCGATACTCCATTCTCCAGAAATTAAAACTGAAGACACTGCCCAAGACAGAAAAGGTGTGCAACAACCCTGTGATGATACCAAAGGAGTGGCTCGAAACACAATATGGGTTTCCAAGGTTTGAACTACACCCAAAGTTCAGTTTGACTGGAAACCGCAAGCCAATAGTATGGTTGTTTCAGCTGTTACAATTTCTTTCGAGAGAAAGAATAGGAGACAGTATGACATTACGCTAGCCGGATTATTATGGTTGAGAAAACTAAGCTGGGAAGGTGGTGGGTTTGAGGCGTGAGCCCTTCCTGCTGCGTATTTGAACGTTTATCAAAGCTACTAACATTTGACGTGTCTCGTGCAATTCGGGGGTTGAGTTTACTGGTCGACATAGTTCACTTTCAAGCTATAGACTGATCATACATGGCTAAGTGAGAAGCGCTCACCGAGCAGACGACTTTGACATACCAGGTAGGTGGGCAAACCAACGTAACCCATGGGGATGTGAGTAACTCGCCCGTCATGAGCAAACCGGTCATTCTGAAGACTGTAGGACACAGCTCAGCCATGTCGACCTGATGTTGCTACCGCATAACGGCGACGCCCCGCGGAGACGTACCGTTAGACGCGGGAAGTCTTGGTATGTCTTCTGTGTCTAAAGACAGTACGCACCATGCTGCTACGGTGTACGGCTGAAGAACGCGCCGATGTCAGATCTGCAAGTGTTGCACGTGTTGGAGAGTTGGCAAAAGTTGAATTGGCCCTCTCCGTTCGAGGAGTTATCTTGCAAGGGTCAACCGAGACCCGTGTACATGTCCGGAGAGTGGACTTACAATTCAATTTATCAGCTATAAACCGTGTACCATAGGCACATTGATTCCAGGTGCTACAGTTTCGATCACAGGAAAACGGGAGAGTGTGGACATACAGCCAAGCCTTCAAGGCGATAGCACGTCTGATTAGTTCGAGAACTGGGTAGCTGCGCCTTGAAGGCGATAGCTTTCACGCACGAGCGCCATTGACTGCGCGATTGGGCCGTTCTTGCCAATGTCATTAACCACTGGTGAGTCGAGTCACGGGGTCCCTATCCAGGAGAACTCACGGGGGTTAACTTATCCATCACGTCGACTGGTTCACCTGAAAGCACGAGAAGTGCTTTGTAATTTTTAGGAGTGGAAGCAGGCGGTTTGACAGAGGTCTCATGGCGACAAAGTTAAGAACTAGTGCTGGTCAGAAGAAGGCCATCAGTGGGTGGCTGTAGAATTCGGAATAAAACCGGGCGAGTAATTTAGATGTTCTGAAGTGATCTCGAGAAATGCGTGAGTCATTCGTTCCTTCATCAGATAAACGGACAAATAAATAAATAAATTAGCTGATTAAGTAACTTGTTCTAGTCGAACATCTGTACTCTGTATTGACAACGCGGCGCGATATCATAAATTCAGCTGTCTTGAAGAAAATCTTAAACGGTCTCTCAAAAGTACTCGCACACTCAAGACTATATCACCACACAACAACACCAGTGTTGAAAACGGACGCTTCAATGTCGGGATAGATACAGCCTACCTGATTGTCCGGTTGACGCCATCCAACTATCCGAAACGCGTCAAAACCCTTCTGCTGCAAAACTTGAACCCACGATATGGCCCGAACACCACCACTTGGAACCCAAGTACGCTGCTCCGAATTGAACACCAACACAAAGGCTCGCGCAGTCGCAACAGGCGTCTCGCTGTGGAGAAATTATAAAAAAAACTCCATTGTCAAAACTTCTATTGGTTTAAAAAGTTCTGTGAAAATTAGATATTAACAGGTACAAACTTTTTTCTTTCGTTCAGCTGTAGCACCCTTCCGGTGCCTAACTGCGATGCCGCCAGAAGGAAGCACGAGGGCTGGGATACTGCCAGGTTGCCCAAGCTTAGACAGGGGAAGTCGGGAGGCAGAGGTCGGGTTCGAACCACGGACCTTCCGGTCAGTAAATTCGTGCTCTAACCACTTGAGCCATCTCGCCTCCCAGGTGCGAACTACGTATGGTGCTAACAATTACAAAATTAGACGTATTAAGAAAATGACTAAACAACAGTGATAGCAATCATTCAACTGTAACACAGTTTCGGTGCGTAGGTGTCATGCTGAGGTACCGTCAGACTGCCCAAGCCTAAACAGGAGTAGTCGAGATGCCAGGGTTGGGTTCGGACCACAGGTCTTGTGGTCAGTAAATTGGCGCTTTACCCAGTAAGCCATTTCGAGTTCAAGAAAATAGTGTCAGTGCAGATACAGTGTTTTTCTACCATCTGTTGAGACAAAAACCAACATGACCCAAGCCTGCTCTTCGTTGTGTCAGTGCAGATACAGTGTTTTTCTATCATCTGTTAAGACAAAAATGAACGTGATTTAAGCCTGCTCTTCCGGTTGGCTGAGTGGCTTTGTTCGCAACAAAGGATGATTCAGACACGCTAGTATCGGAAACGAAATGCACGTTCGTGGTAAGTTGGGTAACTTGTTCAATGGTGTACGTTTCGTTTTTTTGAAACTTTATCGTCCCAGGTAAGCCAAACGTTTTTGCTTCACTGAGTGATACACACCAAAGTCACTACAACTACACCTGATGACCGAGGTCACTGTGTACTTTCTCGTCATGCTACATAATCACACGTTTCCACTTAAGGTTATTTAAGGCCAAATTTAATCAGTCCCTCGTATGAAGATGGGTTTGATTCAAACCAACGTCGAAAACAAGAAGCGTACGGAGGCGTCCCAATGATGAGAATGGGAACTTGCGACTTCACTGTGGCAACGAGAGTGACCTTACGCGCAACAGTGAGAACAGGATTACAATTGGTAATCGTGAAGACAGAAATACCTGCAAATATCTAAGGGCTTTAGTGAACTTTCTCCAAACTCTATTGATCCTTTATGGTTGGTGCCGTTGAACAATAAAAAGAACACTTTGTGAACCCGAAAAACATTGTGTTGGATGTCTACAGTGTCTGCAAAAAAGCGCGTGGACTGGTGAGTAGTACTTTCATACAGTTTTTTTAGACCGACATGAGTTTTTCACACTTCAGCTTACATTTTCACCAAAGTCATACTGTGTGCCGAACAACCCTATCTTTTAACAAACTAATGTCACGTCCATCTTAGAGATGCCCGATTTGAAGGAAGGCGAGACGGGCTCTAGCGATTCCAACATTCACTTTGTCAGTAATATTGCCATCCGACGTAGTGCAACTAACCAGGCACGTAAATTGGTCCACTATCTCCAGTGGTTCCGACGCCAGGAATATCACTCATTCAATCTCTCAATAGAACTTTGAACGATGAGGGTGAAAATTGCATCGAAAATCGCGAGACAATATTAGTTAGATTATTTGACCTATATAGAAGGGGGCGAGATGGCCCAAGTGGTTAGAGCACAAATTTACCGACCACCGCCTCCCGACTTCCCCTGTCTAAGCTTGGGCAACCTGGCAGT